CGGTGTAAGTTCACAACGCTCCCTATCGGTCAATTGGGAGGTATCTAAGACCGATCCCTCTCGATCCTCTCTAGGTATTGGCTCACGTGATTTTTGTCGCGATTTCAGTCCTTTTCTTTGGTCTCGTAAAAATAACTATTTTTACCCAATTAATTTATACACGCCCATCACCAGATATTCTACTTGTCGTTGAGTGCCAACGGCCTGGTGGTCTAGTAGTATGATTCCTTGTTAGGGTAACAATGCCAGACATTCTCGAGGAGGTCCCGGGTTCAATTCCTGGCCAGGCCCTCACATTTCAGGAGCACTTCTTTTTCATTTGCTTAGCTTTTTGTAACGAAATTGAAAAACTGACCCAAATGGAACATCAGAAAGGAAGAAAAAGCCATGCCTGTTGGACGTGAGTGATTCTTGAAAGAGATTGGTGATAAAAGTGAAGACTTTCATATGTTGGTCATAATCATTGTGCGCCACAGTAATTTTTGTGGTCAAGGCTATTGGGATGTAGGTTTTGTCGCAGATGTCTATGTAGAGGTTGGTTTGCATGCTTCCTTGAGTCGCTGATTACAAAGAGCCCTTTGGATAAAAGAAAAAAGCCAGGTCGTAGTTCAACTTGGGTTTTCAAAATATATCTAGAAAGTAGAGATGTTAGACACATAGGATATTGTTTTTCATGCTGAGAAATCTGGAATAAAACAGAGCAGGAAGCAGTCTGGAATCGATCAAGTCAGAGAAGATGAGGAACGCCGGATCTCAATGTCGATGACATACAGGAGAATGTTGATGTGTTGGAGTGTGATATGGTGATATACAGCGGACACGACAAAGGGCCACTGAGGGCAAACTACTCTGCTTTGTCTCAAACTCAACTTATAAATTTGTGCAGCCACTTACAAGCACCCTCAGTTATGTTTACGCGTCTCTGAGGGTGCGTCGTACTCAATACATACATACTGATAACCTAGAAATACTCATGTGTTTACTAGGTGTCTGTTATACACAGCTAGCAATCTGCTGTTCTAGTTCTGTTGAAACCTGAACCAGTGGGACCTAATGAACACAGATACTCGTAAGTATCTAATCTCAGGTACAGTTAGTTGTTTTGTTATGCGTTTCTAGGCAATTTGAGCTCACGGTGACCTCGGTCTGTGTAATAACGACTGAGGGTGCCATTCTGTGTCCATGCGATTATATGCTTGTCCGACTGCTTTGTCCATATAAGCGTGATAAGTGCGATATGGTAAAGGGTGATTGTTCTTTGATCATCGCTTACGGTGTCGTAGCTGTAGATCCCAACAAGTTCCAACATGATGACCTATCGAAAAATTTGAATTGCAGGCCTAGAGGATGAACAACACATCAGGAGAGAAAAAAAAGGGGCGCAAAATGGATAAGTAATGATGCTTGGAAGATAGATCATTTGGAGTGTGAAAAGAGGGAGGGTACCGTGGTTTGAGCAGGTGCCCCTGAAATGGAGGATGTCTGCCGGGCGTAGATGGCGCTTAAAAACGAGGACAGGTACATTGTACCAGTAAGTG